AAGAGAGTCACTTAAGCCCATGAGTTTGAGGTTGCTGTGAGCTGTGACGCCATGGCACTCTACCGAGAGCAACATATCGAGACGGTTGTCTCAAAAAAAAAAAGAAAGAAAGAAAGAAAAGAAAAAAAAGCTGAGCCAGGGCCAAGGATCAAGGAGAGTCTGCGGAGGGACAACTGACCTAAGCTTCTATAAAAGAAAAGAGCCTGGGATCCTGGTTCCAGCCCTGTCCCTTCTGGCCTCCCTGCAGGTAGAGATCAACAGAGCTCTTAGACCTCATCCCAGGGGGCCTGGCTCAGGGTCCAGTTCAGGCCATCCCCCTGGAGCTGGGCTCTCAGTGTGGATAGAAGAGAGCTGCCTTGCAAAGGCCACTGAATCCTTTCTAAGGATTCCCAGGAGAACTTGGCCAGCAAACAGCCACCTGGGGGAATCTTCCCAAAAAATGCCACTAAGAACCAAGATGGAGTCCGGCTCTGGAACATAACCTTTGCCCTATAGCCAGTTCCCAGGATTTTCCTTCGAATCCTAGGACACAGGAGACTGGGATGCCTTCTCTCCAGCCAGGAGAGCAGTTGGGGAGGACCTGGGCTGCTCCCAGCTGCATGAAGACAATGTCAGTAGAGCCCCAGAATCTGTAAAAGCCATGGCATCTGCTTCAACCCTCCAGGCAGCTACATCTGCCAGTGCCCACCTGGCTTTGTGCTCAAAGCAGAGGACTTGAAGCTGTGCACGGTTAGAGGCCCCAGGGAGCACTGTGAGGCTAGAGCCGAGGAGAAGGTAGAAGACCCAGTTTGCCACAAGGTCAACGGCCTACCCTGCCTAAGGAGTCCCTTCCCAGGAAGGTCCTGACATAGGACAGGGAGGTGGTGGGCCCTCTGGGTCTGGAATTCTTTGTGGAGCCCCCAGACCTCATCCCTTCCTCATCTGTCACATTCAAGTGGAAAAAGGCATCACTTCTAGTTCTGAGAAGGGGAACCACAGCCATGCGTAGGAAGGGCGCAGGCGAGAGTGCTTGGTCAGGAAGTACAGACCCTGCGACTCAGCTTCCCTCATAGTTTCTCTTCCTATAAACGATACGAAGTTCCCTGCTGGTGAAGTTGAAGGCCACCAAGTGGCAGCCCATTTAATAAGGCCATTGGCCTAGGGAACTATAGGTGCAGTGCAGGGAGGGGAGACCTGAGCCGGTCAGGGGCAGGGCTTGACCCTCTGGCTTTGTCCTCAGACGTGAATGAATGCACCTCTGGACAAAACCCTTGCCACAACTCCACCCACTGTCTCAACAAAGTAGGTAACTATGAGTGCCGCTGCCGCCCGGGCTGGAAGCCGATCCCCGGGTCTCCTAACGGCCCAAACAACACCATCTGTGAAGGTCTGTAATCCAGACCCTACATTGCCAGAGACCCACTGCCAAACTTCCAATTGCACACTCAGTGGCCCCCCTACAAACCAAGCAGAATAAATGCTGGAGCCACTATGCTGTGCCTGGCCGGTTTGGAGGCTGGATATGAAAATATCTGGGGGTCTCAGGGAAAGAGCTGGGTGCCAAGGAGGAGGCTCGGGGGCCCC